TAATAATAATAATAATAATAATAATAATAATAATAGAATTAATTTCTACACGATTAAAAAGTACAGCAGAGCTGATGTGGTCGTGTTAAAACTAAAAATATTATCAAAATCGTTAAAGCAATCAAAAACGCTTAGTTTACAATAAAATTCAAAGCCTAGAAATGGTTACTTAGAAACTGACGTTTCAATTAATGTCCTTTGAAAAGTGTCAAAATGAAGTATTTTGATATTTTCCTTGTGTATCGACGCTCTAGAGAGTTGCAGTTGCATTTTATTTAAGCCGCGGCTTATTTTCTCTCGTATAAACCTAAACGGCCCTAAGGTTGGTGCTTTGTAGCAGATGGACTTGCGAAGTAGCTCTGTCTTGGGAAAAGGTATTTCAAACGTAAGCTTTCTTCGTAAATAACTGCGGTCGCACTTTTTAAAAAAATTTCTGGATAGTTTCGAGGGAAATTTGGCAAAAACATTTATGGGCTAATAAGAATAATTCTAGATCATATATAGATTATTTGATAAAACCAGTTCGCATGATCTAGCTTCTTGTCGCTCGACGTGTACCAGTCTAAACCAAAAATAATTTTAGCAGTCCGAACAAGGATTTTTTCCAGTTCCTCAAAGAGAGTTTTTAAGCAACGAAGATGACGGCAACGGAAATGGCAAAAAGCAAATACACGACTACGACGTGAAAATGCCTACTTTCACGATTTATGGCAACCTCATTCCCAGGGTTCGCTCCGTGGGGCGGGTAGGAGAGAACCCTGGGAGCGAAGTTGGATTTATGGAGGACTAAATTTGGAGGACTTGAACGCAAGACAAGGATTTTCTTTTTTCTTTTAGTGAAGTTAGAAACAGTCGCTTTAGAATTCCGACTCCTGAGAATTACGCCAACATTTGACAAATGAAATGCGATGAAATTTAAAACAGCGCGAATTCATTTTTTGGGTGACGTTTTCGCTCCCGTTGCCGTTGTCATCGCTTAAGCTCCCTATTGAGGACGATAGATGACCTCATAACACACGGGACATGACGTCATTTGAGCAAAAAATACTCGTTGACTTAGTTTAGGGCCTTTTATATAAAGCCGAGGAGAAAATAAGCAACGTCTTACTTTGGCTGCAGCTTACATGAGACACGAACATCCGTATAAATGGTACAAAATCTCCGTTCACGGTTAATACAACCCACGGCCATGCAGCTCAAGCCAGAGGCTTATCGAGGAGTTTTGCGCTGGGCTTATCCAAGCCGCGGCTTACCTTGGACATGAAAGTATTCGTATAAATGCACTCAAACGTTGTCCGCGGCTTGCTGTAGCCAAGCTGTAGTAGCTTGTAGTAAAGCTGAAGCTGTGAACGATTGCTACTCATGCTGATGCTCTGTTTTCAATTATATCCCAGACCTTCGCGCCTGAGAGACGCGCGCTATAGTGGCGGGAAAATAGGGAGCTTTAGCAACGACGACGGCGACGGCAACCAGGACGTCAAAAAAGCAATGGATTTATTACGCAAAACAACAACTTTGCTCTTGCATCACGCTTTTTTGTACATTTCTTCACCGTCCTTGCACGACTACGACGTGAAAATGCCTAATTGCAAGTTTTATGGAGGACGTAAAAAAGCGACGACGAATCTCTTTTTCTCTCTCTAACTTGAGTGCGGTCCTCAAGAAATCAAATCCAGGGAAATTCGCCTACACTTGCAATTTTCAGCAAATTGGAATAAACGCGTCAAAGATTGAAAAAACGGGGATTCATTTTAAAACTGACGTTTTCGCTGCCGTTGCCGTCGTCGATGCTAAAGCTCCCTATTGACCTGGTACACAAGGGGGCCGAAATTTTTGTTTAAACCCGACCTGATCCATATGCATCCTTGGAACATCTCTTTCGAACCACTCGATTGATCGCTGACTAACTTTTTCCACCCAAGTTTCGCAACAACCCAACGCAACCTCGTCCTCAGGGCACTTTTCCCTGGCTTACAGGGAAAAGCGTCCTGGGGACGAGGTTGAACCCAACGCTAATCTTGATCGAAATGTTAATTTGAAACGAGAAAGATAATGTAAAATTTGGCGATTTTCCAGTCCAAGGCCAATCGTTTCGTTTTCGCAAATTATGCCAGGTACCAAAACAAACTACGTCATCCTTGGACCGGTCTGCAGCTGGCTGCGAAGTAAGCCTTGAACCATTTATACCCGCAGTTCGCGCCGTACTCTTATAAATGGTTCCTTTCGCGTCCTATGTAAGCCGCGACTTTTTTTCTCTCGTATTAACGGCCCTATTGTCACGAATTTTCGATGACACAAAACGCGCAAAAAAGACGTTTCTGGCATTGTAACATTTGACCTGATTGGTGTACTTCCTACCAATCACATTATTGCTTATATTACGATGGCACTGACCAAAGTTTTTGAAAATACCTTAAACAACGTGAAATATTTGAAATTGTATTGTCAGAACTGAGTCGAGTCTACTGAAGAAATGGCAATCTTGGCGATTATCCGGGGATTCCATACTCTAATCTGGAGACTGCGGGAGAAACGGTCCAAAAACTGGAGTCTCCCGGATTATCCAGGAGAGGTGACGGCACTGCTAGTGGCACAAGCAGTAGCGCAAACATTTTTATTAAGGTCAAGGTGCATCTGAAGTAAAGACAGGTATGCGCACAAGGCAGAACACAGGGCATTTGAAATTGTTCCTTGACTTCTAATACGCATGCGTGTGCTTATGTATGTGCGTACTTAAGCTCTGTTACTGCAAGGCTCTTGAGCTTGTGCTTACGCGGACCCTTGCGTCGCTCGTTGAGACCAGCATTTTTTCAATAGAACGCTTTAGCTATTGATTTCTCTTGTATTTTTATCCTTCATGCCGATAACCTGAGATGTGGCTCTATTTTCGTTTCGCCTAGAAAATTACATTCCGGCGGGCAAGGCGAAACGAAAATTTCAGCTGTAGCCGTTAGAGAGAATGTATGAGAACCGCTCAAATTGGGCCTGATCTTAGGTTATCATTAGGCTTTTGTACATTATACTTTTGCTTCCCTATTAAAATGCTCCACCTCAATGTTCCATTTTTCCCACTAAAATGCTCGGTCTCCCCAAAAAAGTCACTAAAATGCTCGGATAATGCTCATTATACAAACGGTTTTTTAAAATTAATTTCAAAGTTTACTCTTACAAAAACGTGCAAGTGTTGCAAGTAACAACGACAACGTGTACAAGGTAATAAATACAGCTAAAAAAACCAGCTGTATTAGGTTTTTTGTGAATTTTGAATTCTAGTCTTCATTTTGTTTAAAAAAGCAGGAGCTCATGGGGCATGGGTTCCTGAAAAAAGTTAATTTCTATTTTAGTTTCTCGGAAAAATTAATTTTCCGGGGAAAATGCCACTAAAATGCTCGAATAATGCTCAATGCTTTTGCCTCACTAAAATGCTCGAAAAAATGCTAGCATAATGTACAAAAGCCTCATCCCGATTGCTTTTTAGTTTTGCTTCCCTCTGTCACGCAACGCTCGGACTGTGCGTGACAAAGTTAGGCCAACTGAGGTCTGGGTACGAGGTTGAGTGAGCGCGAGCGGCAAACGGCGAAAAAGTTGGCATCGTCAACAATGAATACTCGGCGCTTTGCAGTTTATCTGGGATTGAGCCTTGCTGTTTGTTTTGCATCTATAGCACTCTATGTGCTTGCAACAGAACAGTCCCGCCGAAAGAAGGTACTTGGCTATGACTTGTAGTAGATAGAAATTACATGGTGCCCATTTGTTCATAATGAACAAGATGAGGTCAAAGTGAAACTGATCTTTAGCTTTTAATAGATATCACTTGAAGAAATGAGTGATTCTTACCGGTGTACCGCTTAATCTGCATAGTTACAGTAAACTTACTTTCAAAATGATTTTTTACCAAATATGTAGCCATTGAATGATTCTTTCTAGTACTGAACTGTGTAAAACAAATTGCCTGTTACCCAGCTGTGCCCCAGTTTATTTCATTTTTCACTTCCGGGTTTACTTGTAATCAATAGCATTGAGTTTCATGTAGGCTTTACAGATTGTTGGCACTGTCAGTTGCTAAAAGAATTTATCGTATTTAACTAGAAGTACTTCAATCGCAGGACGTCTCGCAGCACTTGAAAGGGAAATTATGGCAAGAAGTAGGTTCAGAAAGGGAAGGAAGGTATTACAGGGAAAAGAAAATAAGAAACAAAACAAAACTACAATAATTTAAAGAAAAGGAAAGATTAAGAAAGAAACCAAAAAAAAAGAAAAAGAAAAATAAGCCGTTTCCAGGATCGAACTTAGGACATCCTGTTTGCCAGGCCAATTCGTTACCACTACGCCACATGGGAATGCATGACTAAAGTGTTGATGATATTTCATTTAAAGCCTTACTTCCGCCAGCACACACCATTTAAAGCCGATTGAGCCGTACTTAAGGGGGGGCACTGGGATATACTCCCTTTTATTCTGAACTTACATGTAGGGGTGTGTTGTTAAACACTGGGTATGGTTTTTTGAGTCTTACAGCACTGTTCTTAGAGGAATTAGGCGATTTAGCAAAGTTGACAGTAACGTTAGCATGTACAGATGTAAAATCTGACTTGACCAATAGCAGAGTGGCAGCAAAGTTATTTTTTAACTACTGAAGTTGTGCTCAGCCCTTTGTGTGTGCCTTCATTTTGTAATTTGATGTTGCATTGTTTTTCTATCAAACCAGCCTAATAAGAACCCCAGAGGACTGCTATGTTTGTACATATGTTTGTACACGTTACCTATCCTTAACCTGCCGTATAACTTATTATTAACGACACTAAAAATTTGTCGAAAACTGATTTTTTTAGAGTAAAGACAACAAGGAAAGTTTGGTTGCCCTGAACTTCCCATTTTTGACAGATGCTCACTGCATTGAATTTGTGATGAAGTCCAAAGTTATGTTTATAATGCGAGGATTACCTGGTAGTGGAAAATCAGTAGTTGCCCATCAGATTAAACAAGTGTATGGTGATAAGGCTGTGAAATGTTCAGCCGATGATTTCAGAGTGACTGATCAAGGAGATTATGTTTGGAAAGCTGAGGAATATGAGATGACACACATGATATGCCAAGACAAAGCAAACCAGGCCTGTCTAAATGCAACACCAGTTGTTATTATTGGTAAGAGATAATACTCAACTCAAAATGATAATAAATTATTATATCTGTAAATCTTGTTGTGTTGTTAATAACTGCACTTCCAGTCTTCCATTATCCTGTGATTTTCTTATTTACTAACCAAAATAAGGTTTACCATTGTATTACATTTACCTTTTCTTATAGTGTTTAAAGTAAAAACTTGCAAGAGGTGACAGGCCGCACATCTCCACTGGCGTGAAACCTTTGAAACCTTTTACATATTGCTCCATTGTATAAATACATTCATGAGCTATACGCACTGATAAATTATGTCCAGTCCTAAAGCGTTTACCAATTGTATGGAAAACCTGGAAATTCCGTGGAGAGTTCAAAGGGAATGGTGCATCCCGGTGGGAATTTTGAAAGACGCTGGTGCACTCATTAGAATTCCTAATTTGACCAGGCTGGGCATTTATTTGATCTTGCCAAAATTGTTTATTAATTTTTTTAAATGTTCTCCAACAGATAACACCAACATCAAGAAATTTTTGCTGTTCCAATATGTTTCCATTGCACATGATACTGGCTACCATGTGGTTATAGTTGAACCTAAGACGAGTTGGAAACTTAGCATATCTGAGTTGACCCGACGGAATCAGCACAATGTTACAGAGGAGAGACTGAGAGAGCTTTTATCTGAGTTTGATAAAGTATTTGCTCTATATTATGGGTGGTTTCTTTCAGGGGATAGTTTCAAGACTCTGAAAGACAGGATGTTAAAAGTCTTGAGAGACTGTTGCGAAAATATCCCATCATTTCAAAATAGCTTTGTAAGAGACAGTTCACAGGAACAAGATGAACCTACAAGTAAATAAATAATATAGTTCCGGTGGTTATTGTTATTATTATGTAGGATCAATTATAGAGCATAATGAGATAGAGAGGTAATCTTAGGGCATTGGCCGGGATGTGTGAATTTCCTTTAAGTTATTTTTAGAGGTTGTAATTGAATGGAAGTCTAATTCCTGAGAGATGTGTACATTATTATTGATTGTTTGAAACATCATCAAGTCCATGGATGGGTGACTGCCTCAAAGCAAAAAATGCAGAATATTGTTATGGCGACTGTTGTATTCTCTCTTGACAACACTGAACAAAAGTTTGCGGACCTTACCAGAAATCAACTTCTGCTTTATTTCAAGGGTTTATTTGGTCTAAAAGTAACTTTGGTGAAATTCACATATCTTAAGGCTAGAGTGGGCATTTTCCTCTCTGTCTTATTATTCCCTCTAGGTAGGAACATTGCAATCTTGTTAGATTCAAATTTTATTTTATGCCTGAGTGCTAAGTGCTCAGACATTGAGAGACAGTTACGTTTATTCTATGAATGTCAGAAAGGGTGTGGCCTATTCCAAGATAAAATTGCTGATACACAGAAAATTTGCTATTAACAAGTTTAATCTTAATAGTCTATGTATATTATAGCATTTTTTTAATGTAGTTGGAAATTTTTCTAGAGGAAATTATTCCAAGAGTAAATTCCATTTTCCTTATTCTGTGATTAAATACCAATTGTCAGTGCACCCTTAGAAGCATTAGCCTCTTGAAATAGTGTGTTAGTCTTGGAACATTGTTCTTGGACCAGATGCTGGATGGTAGCTCTATGTTGGTAGCCTTTTAATTGGAGTAGTGCAGTGGCTTGGGGTGTCTTAAGTTTGGCTGATGTGTAATATTTTTTGTAGGCTGCTCCTCGGAAACAAACTTGCCATCGTTGCCTTGCCTAGAACATCCGCGTAGCCATCTCCACATAACTACATTCTTTTACAAGAGAGGGCAAACCCAAAGAGCTCGTGAGTATGTCTGTATGGTTGAAGATGCCCTTGGATCAGTGGCTACTCTGTCAGTAGTTGCCTGGACAATTACACCAAGAACATTGACTGCAAGAGTTAAACTTACTTCACAACAACTCAACCTCTGGGGGGGCATGCTCAGTTCAGTGGATTCCACAGGACAAGGAAGTGGTGACAGCAATACAGTACTCAGTCTTAATGTAAGTGACTATTCAGCAGGTTCTAGGGACCAGCAGCCTACCTGAGAGTAGCCCAGGGGCACCCAACGAGAATATGGTTCAAAACCGCTAAAACATAGCATTGTTGAACGTATTTTGGTATTTAAAAGGTAGATGTAGGCATATTTTTATCCCCTAAAAATTTTTCATCTGTTCGGATTTCCTAGCTGAAAGTCTAGTGATCCGAAAATTATAGGGATCAAAACTTACCTTTTCGAAAATTTCAGCGAGAGAAAAGGTTCCCGAAAATTCTAGGTGACCTTTTTAAGGTAAAAATCCGTTAAAAATAGGCAATTATACCATATTTTAGATGTTCGAAAATCCTAGGAGAAGCAGGCAAGCAAGAAGTTTTACAACAAATGTTCCGAAAATTCTAGATCTCAAATCGTCTTCCGAACAGATATTTTTCCGAAAATTGTCGTTGGGTGCCCCTGGTAGCCGATAAAGAAATAAGAGATACAGGGACCCCTGTATACACTCTGTAAAATTCATTCACTTGGAAAAAAAAGCCCATTTTTCGCACTAAAAGTTACAAAGCCACGTTCTTTTCAAGTACACGCGAAATTCAAGACATTAGAAATCATAAATGACGAGTAAATGAAACCCCCTTCACGCTTCACAAGACACAAAAAACTCCAGTCACTTTCCAAATGAAAAAAAAAAGAAAAGAACATAGTACCCTGTGCGACGGTATGTTTTAAGGTACAGTAAAACGGGCAACATAAAACGTGCAACTTGTTTTGCGACTTTACTGCAAAACGAGTTGAATAACCATGTTGCACGTTTTACCACCCACGAAAAAAAACCTTGCAACCTTATTTGTTGCAAGACAGGTTCAAACGTGGATGGTAAAACGTCGCTCGCTATTCAACTCACCTTGCAGTAATGTTGCAACACAAGTTTCACATTTTTTGTTGCCCATTTTACTGAAGCTTTATAAACCCCTTATACTGACGGGAGATCATTTCCGTTAAAGCGGTTGATCTGCCAGTTGCTAACACTTTCTGCTTCCCCGCCAGTAAGTCGGCTTGCGGAATCTTCATCCAACTACTTTTTTTTGTTTCAGGAATCATCGAGTTGTGCACTTCAAACAACAAATTCCTCCTTCATTCCTGCCTCGTATAAAGATTTGGTTATCAAGCCAACAGTTGGTGATGGAGATACTGCGCATGTCACGCTGTCCTGCAGAAGTGACATTACACCAGTTCAAGGACGCTATGACTTACGTGACCTCATTACACTTGAATTAACTAATCACAGTTATGAAGAGTACAAAGTGACAGACGGGATTGTGCGCAGTTATGGTGATGGTCAATGGAGTGTCTACTTGAATGAACCCATCTACGTTGATGGACTTTTTACTGGGTTTTATGGATCTTGAGAACATTTCATATATCTTTAACGTTTAGCGTTAGCCTGCAGTGCCCCGGAGAGCTTGCTCGCAGGCTATTCTAGTCTAAGAGCTTTAACCTTCTAGTTACAAGTACAGATGCTCTACCACTGAGCTACTGGAGACTCGTGGGAGTTCAGGCCATGTGACAAACATCCTGCATACTGCTAGGACTGGAATGTCGATATATTTGCTCATACTCAATAACAGAAATTCGACGGTGAATTGAAAAGCCTAGTGAATAAATAAGAAAGATGAGTTTTCAGTCAGTGACCCAGGTGGCTCGAAAGAAAAAGATCAGAGTACTCTCAATAGGAGTCGAACCCGTACCTTTTGTTCTACCACAAAGCTACAGGAGACTCGTTGGAGTTCAGGCCACTAAACTAGGACAAAGCCTAGGTTCAGTGACAAATTCCTACATACTGCTAGGACTGGAATGTCGATATTTGCCGATGCGCAATAATATCAATTTGACGGTGCATTGAGAAGCTTAGTGAATAAATAAGAAAAATGATTTTCCAGTCAGTGACCCAAGTGGCTCGGAAGAAAAAAAATCCGAGTAATCTCAGTAGGAGTCGAACGTTACCAGTCCAGATGCTGTACCACCTAAGCTACAGGAGACTTGTGGGAGCTAAGGCCACTCACTAAACTACAATTGTAGCTTCATGTGACAAACATCCTGCATACTGCTCGGACAAGAATGTCGATATGTGCTTATATGTGCCGAAATGTGATGGTATTAGTTCTAAATTAAAGACCTAAAGTTAATTTAGGTACAGAAAGTTTCTACTTTGTGTTCTGGCTCGTGGTCTTGCACATCTTACTTTCTTATTTAAAACATTCAGTTTCACTCTAATATAACAGGGTGGCAAAGGAGGAGTACCTATCACGCATCACGGAAAAATAAAATAAAATATTAACTACATTAACAAGTATCATTTTGTTCTGAGGAAATCAGAGGTCGAGAGACGAGAAAAAAGGGCAAGAAGTTGGTGTCATAACTATCTATTATTAATGTCTCTGCTTCTAGTTTCAAATGATATAATTAACCATCACGGAAATTTCAAAGGAAACTCACGCGTCACGCGTTATGAAAATAGTTAAAAACATGCATCACGCTGCTATGCCCAATCACACCTCTCACGGCTAATTTGGGTCCGATCACGCATCACGCTTATAATTTGAGTCCCATCACGCGTCACGGAAAACTACTTTGCCACCCTGATATAAAAGTGTGAAAAGTTAAATGAAATATTAAGAGTTCAGTAAAGAATTTTTATTATTAAAGTTTGTCTTTTTACATTTAGTTTTGGTTACGTTTCTGATTATATTATTATTTTCATTATGATGATTATGATTATATTAAGACAGTTTTACACATCTGGATGCTGCCCAGTATTAGTAAAAAAAAGACAGAAGTTGGGCGTCTGACCGAAGTCTTTCTTATGCAAAAAATATTGAAATATTAAGAATATCATAGCCGGCTCTGGTAAAATATTAAAACGTTAAAAAAAAACTGCGCCTGCCCCTTTCCTCTTTCCCGTCGCGCGTGTCTGGCGCTCCTCGTCTCGCTTCGGGCCTGAAAACGTGAAAAACAACAAAAACAAAAACAAAACAAAACAAATCGCTTAGTATGCAGGCCAGTAAGAATCCTACGCGCGTGGGAGGACAACATTGATTACAGATGCGTCATAAAATAAACAGTAAATTACGCAGGTCTTTCGAAGCGCATGAAGTCCTTCCAAACAAAAACCGCGAAGGTAACGTTCTGTTTTTTAAAGTGAAAAAGGCTATTCTTCCCCCTTCCGACTATGATGATCATTATATGGGAGATTGGGACAACACTACGGCCGATCTAAAAATAAGACACAACATGACAACACAACACAAAACAAGAATATTAATTTCATGCTTGCATGACTCATCCGTTAGATCACCCCGCACTCTTGTTCCACTGGAGGCTCAAAAAATTCTAGCTCTGAAGAGGAGTACCACACCGAGGCCTGATTCACTTCTTGCCACTTTTAGTTTTGTTTTTTTGGAAATCGGTAGTCTTTCGCACTGAACCGGGGGTGGGGCAGAGGAGACAGACGACCGTTTTAGACATTTCAGACTAATTACAGAACTAAGCTGTGGCTGTGGCTGTTTGAAGGGACCTAATTTTTTTCGCATCCCAAAAAATAGTGTTTCCCGCCCTTGTCGTGGCGTTGTAGGCTACTGCCGAGAATTTCCGACTATTACACGAACAGGTGCCGATAACAGCTGTCCGACTGCGAACAGCCCGAAAGTAAACAGACAGCAAACAAGATGGCGGGTTACGGTCCACCGCCAGGACCTTACATAGGCTTTCAGCCTGGAGTTCAACCTATAGGATTTGAAATGCATAATCAAGGTTATCCACCTCCTGATAATTATAACAGTCCTGGTTATCCTCCTCCTCCACCACAAGACATTTATCATCCGACCAGGAATGACAACTTTGCAAGCCCGGCTACCCCAGCCGCACCTTCGTACCACAACCACGGAGGAGAAAATGACGATAATCTGCCTCCGGTCGGCTTTGAAGGAATCACAAAACCGAAGGATCAGGATACAGCTACGACTTCAGGAGTAAAACTGCATGAAAGGGAAAGTCCTGTACCGCCAATTGAATCACATTCTCCGAAGCACCGCGAATCGCACCAAGTGAATGTCAAACCAGTTTCACCCGAGGTCTGTATTCACAACAACTTTATTTTATTCTTAAGAGTTGTTTGTTGTACTTATGCAGGCTTAGGGTGGGTGCTCTCTTTAAAAAATCTGCTTTGGCCACAGTTCCCTGACTCAAAAAGTAGTTACGAGGAGGACACGTGAAATATCGCACAGTTGTTATATCAAAGTTTCATCTGTGATCACAATAAACCGCTATAAATATCCGCACGGGATGACTTGTTGAACTTGTGTATTTAATACTCAGCTGTTTCACTCTTCCTCTGTTTACTATTTAACACTGAACCTCTAAAATGATTTTATAAACCCTTCTTTAATGTAAATTATCAACACACTGTATGGCTGACATTTTCCTCCTTTATGATCATCAAGCTGCATCGTCACTTTGACAACTTAATACACATCCGTAACGCATGAGTGCCATGATAGAATCCTATCCCAGCTGCCAAGTAAAAGTGAATAAAATTGTAAAAGAACAGAATAATGAGGTAGTCTGGCACTCCGGCCTGTAAGCTTTGCTTTGCGGTAACACGTGCAGTTCTGCTAAAAAGTTTTTCTGCTTCTGCGTTTCGTAAATCAGAAAGAAACTGAAAAATATTTGAGATCTAAACTCCTTTTCTTAAGAAATCATCCTTGACAGTAATACGATATTGTATCATAAATTGATCGAGGCTTAAATAGGTTGTAAAATATTCCTCAGGATGCAACCGTTATTAAGGGGGCAATTTATGCCCCACACGAAAAATGTTATTATTGAGGTATAATAATTACAAGAATATTCACAGTCCTTTTTTTTGCAAAGAAAATGAGAACTTTACTGTTGTAGAATTTGAAAGCTTCTTTTGTACATGTATCTCCAGTAGGTTTTTTAAGTAGATGTTTCTAGCAGATAATCTGCTAGACATATAATGTGAATGACATATAGTTTATGTCAATCGTAATGACATATAGTTTATGTCATTCATACCTTTTTTAGGTTTCATAAATGGGATCTTCATTGCTACAACCAGGTGCAAAAATTGTTAAATGTAAGACACTTTTGCCAAAATCAACTTTGGAAAAGAGAAGGTTATGAGAAGGAGTAAAAATGATTATCATTGGCACATGGTTTGATGTTTGTCAAATTTCTCAACTAATTCTTCAAGGAAATGTATGAGATCAGTGTGGACAATTTGTATACACATATACCTGTGGGTATTTGGGGATTAAACAGTTAAACTGTCCTACCATGGTTTATATTCAAATTTTAAAATCTTTTGACAGGTGATGAAAAAAGATTAATATTTTCCTGAATAAGTTTGCTGCAATTTTGGTTACTGATGATTTTGATTAATTGCCCTTGACCTGTCATCAATAGCCGCATCTTATCAATGGTAATTTTCTTTGTCAAAAAACACACCTCAAATGACATTTTTAAATTGAGAAAGTATCTTTTGCTGAGAGAAGATCAAAGCAACATTGAGGGCAGATATTCAGCAGGTGAATTGTTTTATGTCAAAAAGGTAGTTTTAGGATGTTTACCATGCTGTACATACTGTGTGGTAAAGCCAATCCGGTAATAAAATGGATTGGAGACAGGCAGGATCAATTTGCTGAAAGGGCTGCTTGTTATTCATGAGATATTTTTCCATCACTGACATTTTAGCCCTGTATGAAATTAATTTTTTTATAATTGGTTGCTTTTAGTGCAGATTGTAGAATAATTTATTGATCTGTTCAGCCATCTGGATATTCACAATAATAGTTTTCCTTTCTGTCTGCATCTTGTCTTGTTTTCTTTCTCTTCATAAAGTGAGAGTTAAAAACATTAACTTTTAGTCGCCACCAAACTGCATGTTGTATAAATCTGCTCCAACAGTGCATGACATCCTGTATGCATAATCATTCTAGGCAACAAAGTTTTTTTTCAATTTTTGTGGTGGTTTGAAATAGAAGTCGACAACTATACTTCATGATTGACAAAATAATGAGGAAGAGAAAGACTCTTCATATAGCACGAATTGTAAGATGAAATCCACAAGGAGCACTGTCTTCTTTCTCCTTTTTGAGTTGAGGTTAACTTTGGAGATGAAGATGTTTTTTCTCCTCTGCAGTATTTGTTATTATGTTCAAAGTTTTAAATAGAAGTTGAAGAAATTTAATTCATTGTTTTATACAGAGTTTAACACAGGTTAATATCATCTTGTGTTTTTAAATCTACTGGTGTACAGGGTGTATAATATTTTAGGTTTTACATTTTGTAAAGAATCACTAAATCTGTTAAAATACCCAGTTGCAAAAAC